CAGTAAATTTAAAATATAGATTCATAGGACTTCTTTGCACATAAAATGAAAGCAGCTTTCAAGGTTGTTATGGTCTCATACTGCAAAAAAAACCCCCATTAAGTACATTCACAGTCTATGTTAATAAAGTAGTAAATGTCTTCATTCAGTTTTATTTACATCAATCTGTAGTTCAACTAAAAAGTACTGTTAATTGTGGTACTGTAGTTCTTTTAACACATACAAAATGATAATTTTTATATATAATTTAAGCTCAAAATCACAATTATCTCAAAATATTAATTACAATACAGCCATCTCAATTAAACATGTGATTTATTTTTTTATAAAATGGTAAAATTTTTTATTAAAGTAAGCAATTAGTTTTGAATTAGCTAGAGTTCTCCCATGTAGAAAACATTAAATGTTAAGAGGTGTTTCCTGCCCCCTCCCACTCGAATTTGTATACAGCCACCTAGGCTAGCAAAGAGACAGAAAAGGCCCCAATTTATAAAGATTAAGCCTCTTTTGCTATTCTGCTGTGGCTTGTTTCTTCCATAAAAGCTTTACAAGGGGAATATCAATAAACTATGCAGTGAAATGCATGCATTAATATACAATATGTTTATGTAAAATGTTAGTATTTACTAGTGCACGTTAAAATGTTCACAAAGGCTGCAAAAGAAGTCATAAATAAAGAAGCACTTAGAAAGATCTGTCAACTGCAAATTGTAAACTTGAAAACTACTTGATAATATAATGGAATTTCTGTGAAAACAAATCCCAATTCAAGTTCTTTCTCTGGCTAAAGGAGCTCCAGTCACTTGGCCTTAAGATGTCACTGTTGCACTGCACATATGGTAGTGAAGTCAGTTGTCAAAAAGAATATGAGTCTAGAGATTGTCTTACTTTTGCTAAAGTACTGGCCTAATGTTGCATCACTGTGTAGGAATTTTTCTTAAACTTACAGAAGAGTGAAATATTTCACTACCCGAATTATATGACCTCAAATGAAAATTTGTGTGTGTACATGTGATTAGCATATGGAAAAATATTAATATAAGTAGGTGGAATTAGTATTTACTTATATAGTAATAAAAGGATTATGCCCCACAAATAACTAAGGTCAAAAGTAATCAATTATCAAATAGTTTAGGAATGAGAGAATATTTTTCACGGCTACATAAAAAATTCAAACACCCTAAAACCCTTTTACTTAATTCTTTACAAACCAATTAAAAACCTATCACTGTCTTTGTTTAGAATTGCTGCTGTTAATATTTCTTCTCTGAATAGAAAGAGACCGTAGTTCATATTATGGTTTACTTTTATACAACTGGGGTGTGTGTGTGGAGGGGAGGGCACCCTTGCATGACTATAACATGGGGAAAATTAAAGTACTTGCAAACTACTTTTGCAAGGTTATTTGAGATGGTCTTTGAAATTCATAAATAGAATTCAATAGATTTACCTCTGAATTTCAAATAGGAAAAAATTTATCCTTCATAAGACGACAATGTCATGTTAAGCTTCCTTCAGTCACTTCTATACACTGAGTACAAAGAGAAACTTGATTAGCTCGTGGGACAAAAATATCTCGTTTATCTATTAATTATTTTTCTCTTTATTCCAAACAGAAAATAATAAGGCTTCTATTTTCAAGGAGGAAAATGAAGTTGAGGATGTTAAAGGAAAATGCCCAAACATCATAAAGCAGTATTAAAACATTTATTGCATTCCGTTGACACTAGGTGTCATCAAAGCTAAAACCAAATTTCCTAGAGTAAAACTAAGCATATGACATTCATTACTGCCCTGAACAGGTGCCTTTTCCACATTCAAGACCAGTAAGGCTCCTCTGAGTGGAAAGACTCTACAAATATTGAAAATAAAATTTATTTCAGCACCACATTGTGAAAATAAATTACCATCCCAACAAAATGAGAACTGCTTTGTGTTCTATCTGCCTGAGAGTTTCATCTTGGTTTTCCTATAGACTTTCAAAAAGTTATGTAAGATTTCCTGATTAAGAGAGGTTCTTTAGTAGAGTGCTGGGGAAAGGGAAAAGGGATGGAAAGATACAAAGAAATATAATGTGATTTCTTTTGTCCATCAAATGTTTTCCTTAATTTAGTTATCATAAAGATTAGTTGACCCGAATACTTGGGCATTATTTAACCTCATTACCTGTGCAAAACAAATGCACAAAGAAAAACACCTATGTACGTGTGTCTCTACAGAGACACAAAACCTGAGTCACAATAAAAAGTTTTTAATATAAGAAATCTTAATGTAGGAAAATAACCTTTAAAGGGCCAAAAAATATCTTTGTACAATATAATTAGCTAACTAAAACTTCAATGTGTTTAAGTATCACATATTTTATAAGACCTAACAAAATAGGAATAATTTACATTTGATACTTTTCTTAACTATAACTGATACCCCCATTTTTATTTCTAACATCTATTTTCATTCCCCTGAATTCAATAACTTCTCCAAAAAATAAAAGCATCCTATATAATAAAAGGGTAATATGCAAATAGACCGATCGGCAGAACAACCGAACAAACAATCAAAGTGTGGTATGCTAATGATATGCTAAGGCTGCTCAGCCGCTTGCTATGACATGCACTGATCACCAGGGGGCAGATAGTCAGCTGGTCAACCAGTTGCTATGATGTGCACTGACCACCAGGGTCAGATGCTCTGACCAGTGGGTTAGCTTGCTGCTGAGGTCTGGCCGATCAGGACTGAGCAAGGCAGGCCGGACATGCCCTGGAGCCCTCCTGCGGTCCCTCCCTGGATCATGCACCGGTGGGGTCCCTCAGCCTGGCCTGCACCCTCTTGCAATCCGGGACCCCTTGGGGATGTCGGAGAGCTGGTTTCAGCCCAATCCCTCAGGCTACTCCCCTTTGGAGGGCACCAGATATAGGGCTCATGGCTGGTGAGCGCTGCTGCAGCAGCCCGAGCCTCTCCCAATCGGGATTGATTAGGCATGAGCCCAGAGCAGGCACAATGGGGCCAGGATGAGCGGGAGTGGCAGGGAGGAGCTGTAAGTGGCATTGGACTGCGCATTTTGGCCCGATCCTGCAGGCCACCCAGAGTGACCTCACCTGTACACGAATTCATGCATTGGGCCTCTAGTACTTAAATATGACTGTTTAATTTCTGATGAACAATTCTTACTTTTATCTAAATATTGAGGACATAGGAGATTTGGGGTTGCTAGGCATATAACAATGCCAAACCAAAATAGAACTCTAAAATTCAAAACAAAATATATATTTCGAAGGAAAACATTACTTGGAAAATTATGTTGTAGATAGAGTTGGGCCAAAGTCTGCATGAAGCTATTTTGTGCAGGCTCCTTTTCTGCAGATAGTGATCTCTTAAAAAATCCCTTTTCTCTATGCACAACTTCCTCAGCTTTCAGTGGGTTTCTCACCTTTTCCATACTTGAACCCTGAATTCTCCCAACTGAATGAAGCTCCCTTGCTCAGACCCAACCACCAGTGACAGTGTCCTTTCTACTCCTCTACACCTTCGTTAGCTCTTCCGCGTCTTCAGTAGCTGAGTTCTCTGTGATGATTCCTGGGCTTCCCCTCATGTGCCACTTAACTACTCAGTAGGAGGAAATCTATTTATTTGTCCCCACTGTGTTATCATTGGACACTTTAAGGCTCGATTCAGGACATACTTATTCCCTGGGCTGCATCCATCCCAGATGCGATCTGGGAGTAGTTTACAGGAAAATGAGTGTGAGTTGCTGCTCCACACTGCCCCCAGACTGGCCATTGTCAGCTGGGACGTTGCATTGATTATGCATTTATGTCAGTGAAGTCACTAATACCTAAAAGAGGAATCCTTCTGAGCCAAAAGATTCCATCCTTGCATTTGTAAGTGAATAGTTGAACCAATAGGGATTCTGGACAGTGTCTTTGAATGCTGTCTTTTGGGTCAGGGGGGCTGATTTGGGGATAGGGTGGTAAACGCACACAGTAGGGTGAGAGATTAAAGGCATTAGCCTAGTGAAGTAGTCTCTTCTTGCCTTTTTGTAATGACACTTGCCTGAGGATCACGAGAAGGATTCTGTAATGTGCAGAAGGCTAAAAGCAGAGTCACACTTTCTCTGCCAACAGACTAGTTACCATGGGAACCAATGCAGAAAAAGGAAAATATGACAAGAAGCTGAGGATTAAATGTGGAGAAAATTGATAGGGAGTTGGTTTCTACATGGCAATTTGAACATTTGGGATTTAAAGAACAGGCCGTTCTTCATGTGACCAGACCCATGACAATGAATAAAACGACTTGGCGGTAGCTGGTCCTGGCAGCTGAGATGTGAGGGATACAGAGAGGAAGCAGTCAGCATGCGGTAGGTTGGAGAAGGGGGACTCTATAAAATCCAGTTCCATTCCTGGGAAGGCTGAACACCAGTTCAAAGGGCAAATTAACCATGTGGTCCAAAGGTGCCCTTTGAAAGGCGTATCCGTCTTCCCTTGATAAACCAAACCTGCTGTAATTCT